TAGGGTTTAGGGTTGTAGGGTCTGGGGTTCTACAAGTCCTACAAGGTTTTTAATCCGGGTTCTATGAGGGTTTCGGGCTTTGAATTAAGGCTCACCGGACTTGAATTTAGGCTTATTACGGGTGTTGGGTCTAGCTGAGTGGTATCCTTTCAAAGACTTTTTGGGAGAAAGGTTAAAAGGGTGCTGTCGTTATTTATGGTTGGGGGTTTAGGGTGTAGGGTCTCCCAGCCCTAGGCCCCAAGCATCCCGCGAAAACTCATACAACCCGAGAGCAGTACACCACTCTCTAAAGGGGCAGAAAGCCCTATAGCTTGCAAAACCCTTATCAACCCTAAACCCCAAACCCTAAACCGTAAACCCTAAACCCCAAACCCTAAACCCTAAACCCTAAACCCTAAACCCCAAACCACCCCAAGTGTCATAGGTCTCGCCCTGCCAGGATCCAGAGTTCTCGTTTGCGGTTTGGGGTTTCCTAAATCCTAGGACCCTGACCCAAAGCCGTCAAGCCCAAGATAGCGGCCTGAGTAATAGATGTAATAGCCAATACTATCCCTTGGCTTCCTGAGTCTCACTCTACTTGGAGGTTCATGCGTAGTCATAAGTGGGGTTATAAGTCCCCTAAGGCCCTAAGATGGGTTATAACTATAGATACCCCACTTATAACTCCACTTATAACTACCCATGAACCTCCAAGTACTGTAACTAACCTCAACTCCCCATTCTAACTATTGCCGCCCCCCACAGAAACCCTTACAAAACCTGTATGCAGCCTTTTACAAGCCTCACCAAGACCCTCCAAATTATCAAGGCCGCTCAAACCTCAAACCCCACACCTAAACCCTCGCCAGGATGATTCTGCCTGGGCAGCAGCCCTCAGTACTGTCCTCCCCGGCTTGAACCGCACCGAATTCGTTGCAATACCAGCGGATGCCACCCAAGCAGTCACTGAGTTGATGTCCTGCGTCTCAACGTATGGCCTGGCTTTTGCATCGAATTGGGTCCGGCTCACTGACACAGGTTGCCGAAACCGCGATGACGGCGAGGTGCTCCAACGCCTAGCTGCGACATTGATTGGACACTTCCGTGAAGTCGCAGACGAAGAAGAAACGACTGTGACTTTCTCGCCATCTTTCGCGTCTTTCGCATCTGTGGTACAGCCTGTATCTGGCTACTGGAACACTGTGAAAGCCGTGCAAGCACAGCTGCGACTGGACGACATGGCAACAGATATTCTGAAAGCTCTGATTGCGATGCATGTGACCGGTCTGGCACCAATCGTCGAGATCTTGGTGGCGGCTGTTCAGCCTGAGCCAGAGATAACCAGATTCGCGCAGCTAAAATTATACTATATTATGCTCATTTCGATTTGCTATACTATACTATACCATATTATCCTATGTTACTGCTGGTTGCAAACGTGGCCGATTCCATCTCGCGCTCGCTCGCAAACGGGGCAGTGTCGATAGGCTGACGATCACATGTGACGTCTCAACACTGAGAGGAGTAACTCAGGCTTTTACAAACAGCTAGAGACTTCGCCGTCTCTTGGCCGCTCCCCTATGTTAGAACCGTAGGTGGCTAGGCAGTGTGGAAACTCCTTGGCTTCTTTATATGTGGCCCTCTTCTTGCTAGGCTATGACCCTTCTTGTTGGTGCAAAAGCCTTTGCAGAACCCTTCCTCATAAGACCCTCTAGATTATCAAGGCCTCTTAGCTTGGTTGAACTTTACAGTCACTTTATAGCTTTATCACTTTTAGGATTAGGCTTTGTTGATATTAGGGGTACTAACAGTTATAATTTTAGCAGGGTAATAAAGAGCCTTAAAAGTTAAACTCTTAAACCTCAAGTCCTGAATCCTCGCCAGGATGATTCTGCCGGTGATGCTGATCAACATCTTCGACGAGGTCAATGCGGGTATTGCTACCCTAAACCCTAAACCCTAAACCCTAAACCCTAAACCCTAAACCGGACTTTAGGTCTCAGAGTTGTTGGGCTTAGGGAGTTCTGGGTCACGGGTTTTAGGGTTTGGGGATTTTCGGTTTAGGGGTTGTTGGCCTCGGGCTGGGGTTTAGGATTTAAGGTTTGGGTTTAGGGTTGACCCTAAACCCTAAACCCTAAACCCTAGGGTTTTGGCTAAGGTCGGTTTCGGGTTTCAGTTGCAGTTTCGGGTTCGATCGCGGTTTAGGCGTCGTTTGGGGGATTCGTTATACGCGTAGCGTAGACGGTGTACTCAGAGGGCCTATAAAAAAAAACCACCTTAACGCAGAATACTAAGCCACTAAGCCCATCATAATTTCGGGTATATTCCTTCATTGCGGGGTATTGGGTTTTCTGGGTAACATCGAGTAGCATGTAATACGATTCCTTCAGACGCCTCCTCCTACCTATTACTTTCCAGCATGATATACATCAGAAGCGCCGTCTTAGTTGCTTGGACCCTTGTATACTTCAACAACTAACACTAACACCTCAACCGGCTTTCTGGGCAGTTCTCTAGCTAGTGTCCTTTGTATAAGGGTCTAGGGTTGAGGGTTTGGGGCTATGCGGGTAGTTCTCTACGTAAGTTAGGGTCCTTTTTTGCAAGGTTGCCATACAAGTTTTGGGACCTAACAAAGGTGCGATCGTCATGGACATGTGGGATCCTGCTCTGGCTGCCTTTTGCTCAGGGTTTAGGGGTGGTTACGTAACAAAATAATAATTAAGCGCAAACCCTAAGCCCTAAACCCTAAACTCTAAACCCTAAACCCTAAACCCCTAAACCCCTAAACCCCTAAGCCCTAAACCCTATAAACCTCAAGCCCAATATTCAATAGGACTGCTACCCGAACTTCTCAAGATGGCCGTCTTAACAACGACCCTGAAGCTCCAAAAACAGAACCTTAGACCCCACGACTTTAAGCCCTATAGGCCCTAAACTCCCGAACTTAGGTTTAGGGTTTAGGGTTTAGGGTTTAGGGTTTAGGGAACTTAAGAAACCCCTGAACCCCGGAACCGCTGTGGTTTCTCAAAAACCGCAAACACCACGAAGTCGAGGCCGACTACATCAGCAGCGGCCATCATGTAGACCAAGGCCAGCACGTTGAAGTTCTTGAAGACTTGATGGTGCCTTCATGCCTTTTTCTGGATTCTTGTCAAGAAAGGGAACTCAAATTGAATAAGGAAACCCATTGTAGCACAGATCCCTGTTACCTAAGGGTCCATGTGCCCAAATAGTATATGCTTAGAGTACCTGAATAGGAGCTACTTTAAGGCCGAGGTATATGCTATATGAGTACCAGGAACCTTTGTGGGTTGTGGAGACTTAATTTGAGTTCCTTGGCAAGAACAAGGGTTCGTTTTGAGTTAAACAAAGCTGCCTGCGGGCGTAGGCCTCGCTATTCGTTTGGGTGAACTTGGATTTGTTGGGGCTTCTTGAAGGCTGTATTCTGGTTTCAGTTTAGAGTTTGCCCTAAACCCTAAACCCTAAACCCTTAGCCCTTAACCCGAACCCTAAACCCTAAACCCTATAAACCTCAAACCCTCACCTTTTCGGGTAGTACTCGTTCGTATCAAAACTGGTTGTCATTTGGGCGCTCCGAGCCTTTTGTTGGTCCGAAGGACAAGGGGTTTCACGTAGGGGCCTTAATAACTAGAATAGGGTTTTGTGGGTTCTTTAAGAGGGTTCCTTAAAGGATTCTAGAAAGGCTACTATAAGAGTCTCGGGTTTAGGAGCCTTAATAATTAGAATAGGGTTTTGTGGGTTCTTGAAGAGGGTTCCTTAAAGGGTTCTAGAAAGGCTACTATAAGAGTTTCGGGTTTAGGAGCCTTAATAATTAGAATAGGGTTTTGTGGGTTCTTTAAGAGGGTTCCTTAAAGGGTTCTAGAAGGGCTACTACAAGAGTTTCGGGTTTAGGAGCCTTAATAATTAGAACGGGGGTTTGGGGGTTCTTTAAGAGGGTTCCAGAAAGGGTTCTATAAGGTTTACTACAAGAGTTTCGGGTTTAGTAGCCTTAATAATTAGAACAGGATTTTCTTTAAGGGGTTCCTTAGAGGGTTCTAGAAGGGCTACTAGAAGAGTTTCGGGATTAGGAGCCTTAATAATTAGAACAGGGTTTTGGGGGTTCTTTAAGAGGGTTCCTTAAAGGGTTCTAGAAGGGCTACTATAAGAGTTTCGGGTTTAGGGGCCTTAATAATTAGAATAGGGTTTTGGGGGTTTCTTGAAAGGGTTCCTATAAAGGGTTCTAGAAGGGCTACTGCAAGAGTTTCGGGTTTAGGAGGCTTAACAGTTCGAATAGGGTTTTGGGGCCCGTTATACTATAACTAGAATAAGGGACCCCCCAAAATTTTACAGAATTTATTGGTAGTTATTTTGGCTCCGGCACAATTGAAGTTTCGGGATGGTCACTGCTGGGTGTTCGGGGGCTTCACCTTACAAGCCCCGCCCCCTAGGCCCTAATCTAAGTCCTACCTTGACCCCCCCCCCCCCGCATGCCTTTTAAGGGGTGGCCTAAACCCTAAACCCCAAACCCTAAACCATGCCTTTTAAGGGGTGGTATGCTAGTATAAGGAAGTCATGATAAGGAACCCTAAAAATGTGCTGTAAGCCCGAAGCTCTAAACCTAGAGCCGGGACCGAAACTACTGCAAAGCACCATGTGCTAAGTCCGAAACTTTGGGTTTAGGGTTTTGGGAACCCTGTTTTGTGTGAATTCTAACCTGGCTTTGGTCGTGTGCGGCATTTTTATGGGGTCCGGCGGATACCGATGCCTAGAGGGTTCGGGTTCAAGGTTAGGGTTTAACATGCCATAATCTACCATAGCCATAATCTGTTTTGCTGTGGTTCTTATGATGCACAGTAATATAGAATTTATGTGGACCCTACAAACAATATGTTGTGGCAGTTGAGGAAGAAGAGGGCTTAAGGTGAAGTGATGTAGAGACTTCGAAAACGTTTGTAAGACTCTATATGAATGAGGGCTTGGTTGCTTCCATAGTATGCCGTAGGGATGTTGTTGCGCACCAGCATAAAGCGCGGTGCAGTGAAGTCTGGAACCGCATTCTTGTGATCTACGCCGAGCAGGCCGTCAAGGCCATGCTCACCGTGCGGTTCACGCAAACAACGAAGGAGGGGACAAAGCGGTGGTGGCCTCTGTCAGAGCTGGTCGAAGCGGATTGGATGTTCTGCGCAACATGAACCTCAACGAGGACGTGCTGCGACCTTTCCGCAGCCGAGCCCGGAAGATGGTAGAAAGGCTTTCTTCTGGTCGTCATGGTAGGGAGGTCACATAAAAACACTTATTACATAAATCCGTGGTTAGAAATCTCATAAGCCCGAAACAGCAGACCCTGTAAAAACTGGAACCCCCAAGCAGAAGGTGCCAACGGGTGGTTCAGCTCAATGTGCTGGTGCTGCTTCGTGGCTTGGTGGGAATCAGCCGGAGAGATCCAGAAAGGCGCTTTTAAGGTCTATTGACTCGAGGCTTTGTAGGGTAATATAGGAGGTTCGTGGGTAGTTGTAAGTCGGGTTATAAGTCGGGAAACTATAGTCATAGCCCATATTTGGGGGACTTGTAACCCCACTTACAGTTACCCATGAACCTCCAAGTAGGGCTGTATGTGCTCGTTAAAACGGACAGTTAGACTTGTAGGATGTGTCGGGTGGAGTCCTGTCGCTTCCTTGCAAACGCAGGTCAAGAGCTAGGAGTTTGCGTTTTGGGGGTAGGGTCCAGGATAAGCCTCTAAACATTTGAACCCTAAATCCAGATCCCTAGATCTTAGCAACTCCTAAATTTCCTAGACTCTACGCTCTAAACTCCTAAACTCTAAATCCTAAACTCCTAAACGCTAAACCCTATAAACTAAACTCCTAAACTTCTAAACTCTAAACCCTATAAACTCCTAAACTCCCAAACTCTAAACTCCTAAACTCTAAACCCCAAACTCCCAAACTCTACACTCCTAAACTCTAAACTCTTAAACTCCCAAACTCTAAACTCCTAAACACTAAGCCCTATGGATCATCTGAGGTGGGCACTGCAGTTCCTGTTTGCTACAGGCCGGAGCTCCGGGCTTTGGGTTTAGGGTTTATAAAATTTGGATTTAGGGTTTAGGGGTTTGGGGTTTAGGGTTTAGGGGTATGAGGTTCAGGGGTTGAGGGTTTAGAGGTATTACGTTTAGGGGTCTGGGTTTAGGGGTTTAGGTTTTAGGGGTATTGGGGTTTAGGGTCTAGGGTTTGGGGTTTTGGGTCTAGGGGTTTAGGGTTTAGGGTTTTGGGGTTGAGGGTTTAGGGGTATTGGGTTTAGGGGTATTGGGGTCTAGGGTCTAGGGTTTAGGGTTTTGGGTCTAGGGTTTAGGGGTATTGGGTTTAGGGGTATTGGGGTTGAGGGTTTAGGGTTTAGGGGTATCAGGTTCAGGGGTTTAGGGTTTAGGGGCTTTAGGTTTGGGGGTTTAGGGTTTAGGGGCATTACGTTTAGGGGTTGAGGGTGTAGAGGTATTACGTTTAGGGGCTTAGGTTGTAGGGTTTAGGGGTATTAGGTTTAGGGGTTTTGGGGTTATTGGGGTTGAGGGTTTAGGGGTTTAGGGTTTAGCGGTTTACGGTTTAGGGGTTAGGGGCTTTGGGTTTAGGGTTTAGGGTTATTGGGGTTGAGGGTTTAGGGTTAAGTTTAGGGGTTTAGGGTTTCGGGTTTAGGGGTTTCAGGGTTGAGGGGTTTAGGGTTTAGGGTTATTGGGATTGAGGGTTTAGGGGTATTATCAGGGGTTGAGGGCTTTGGCTTAACCCTAAACCCTAAACCCGAAACCCTAAACCCTAAACCCTAAACCCCCAGGGGTTTGGGGCTTTAGGGCCTATAGGGTTTAGGGCCTATAAGGCCTATGGGGATTTAGGGGTCAGGGTTTGGGGTT